TACTTTTTCTAAGGCAAACCAGTGATCTTTGCTAGGATTACTGGTATACTGACTCAGTCTCCCTACAGCATAAGCTATATCACGTCTGGTCTGGTTGGATATGTATAGGAGAGATCCAATCAGCTAAGAATACTTTAGCTGGGAGACAGATTCACCTTCATTCTTCTTCAAAGATATAGAAGAATCATAAGGTGTGGAGACAGGTTTAGAGTCATAAAAATTGAATTTGATTAGCATTTTCTTAATACTATGAGAAAGACTCAAGGATATTCCTCTAGTGTCTCTAGTGATTTTCATTTCAAGTATCATGTCAACAAGACTTAAAATCTTTCACGTTAAAGTTCTTGGAGAGATAATCTTTAACCTTTGAAATTAATTTAAGAGTTGTTCCAAAGATAAGGATATCAACATAGAGATAGAGGATGACATAGTCATTATTTATCACTTTTGAATAAACACACTTATCATGTTCATTCACAGTGAAGCCATACTGTGCAATGGCTGTCAAATTTCTGGTACTATTGTTTTAAAGCTTGTTTAAGACCATACAAAGATTTAACAAGTTTGCAGACTTTATTTTCCTGACCCTTGACAATGAAGCATTCAGGTTGGTGCATATAGATTTTTTCATCTAGATCACCATTTAGAAAAACAATCTTGATATCCATCTGATGTATGATCAGTTTATGAATAGCAGCAAAGGCTAATAATACCCGAATAGTTGAGATTCGGGCTACAGAAGAATAGGTATCAAAGTAATCAATGTCTTTTTACTGAGTATAGCCTTTAACTACTAATCTAGCTTTATATTTATCAATGGAACCATCAGGTCTAAGTTTCTTCTTGAATAGCCACTTACAGCCAACATGTTTACAACCTGAAGGTAAGTCGGTGAGTATCCAAGTATGATTTTTTATGATAGATTTAATCTCATTATCAATGGTTTCTTTCCAGAAAAAAGATTCAGGTGAATCCATTACTTCTTTGAATGAGCTTGGATCACCTTCAACAAGAAAAATAAAGAAGTCTTCTCTAAAGTCCTTTTGAATTCTACCTCTTTTACTTCTTCGAGGTTCAATATCAAGAGGCTGAGAAGAACTAGAAGATGGTGGATCAGAAGGAAAAGATGAACTAGGATTTTTTGAGATTTTGGATTTGAAAAGAAAGATGTTTTCAAAGTAGATTGCATATCTTGCTTCAATGATAGTGTTGTTGGATGTCGCTGATTTCAGAATTAATTACTAAAAATTTATTAACATTGCTATCTAGTGTATATCCAATAAAAACAACATCTACAATCTTAGAATCAAATTTTTTCTTCTTAGGTTCGGGAATACCTACCTTAGTCAAGCAACCTCAAACCCGGAAGAAGTTCAGATTAGGAGTTCTCCCCTTTCAATATTCATAAGGGGTTATATCAGAATGTTTGTGGGGAATTCTATTGAGAATGAAGTAGGCAGAAAGAAAAACTTCAACCCAGAGATTTTCAGGTGCTCCTGAACTGAGTAACATACAGTCCACCATGTTATTAGGGTTATGTCCTTTCGTTCAGCTACCTTGTTAGACTGTGGTGTATAGAGAGCAATTACCTTATGAATAATATCGTGTTCTTAGCAATATTTAGTCATATCATTTGAGGTATACTCCCCCCACGATTAGATCTTAGAATCTTGATCTTTATGTCAAGTTGATTCTCAGATTCAGCTTTATACATCTTAAACCTATCTAAAACTTCATCCTTAGTCTTGAGAAGATAGGTGTAACAATATCTGAAGTGATCGTCTATAAATATCACAAAATATCTCCTACCCCCTCGGGTGAGAACTTGATCGTCTATAAATATCACAAAATATCTCCTACCCCCTCGGGTGAGAACTCGGTTCGAGTCACACACATCACTATGAATTAATTCGAGGGGTTCAGAGTTTCTAGTTATAGACTTGAAGGGTTTTTTAGTGTGTTTCCCTTGAACACAAATCTCACACTTAGATGAGGGATCATAAGATGATATAGGAATAATGTTCAATTTAGTCATTCTCTACAAAGTTTAGAAATTGACATGTCCAAGTCGTCTATGCCAAACATTACAAGACTCAACAATTTGTGCAACAGAAGACTCAGAAATTTTATTAGAACTGGAATTAATTACATTGAGCTTGAAAAAGTCATTACAAGTAAAACATTTTCCTATCAATACATTATTCTTTGTAATCACAAATTTATTGGATTCTTTTACAATCTTATATCTAGCTCTAAGAAGAAGAGATTCACTAATCAGGTTGCGACGAAGAGAAGGAACATGATGAACGCCTTGCAGATTCAGAGCTTTCCCAGAGGTCATGGTGAGCTCTATGCATCCACTTCCCATTATTTGTTTGAAGGAGTCATCCGCTATGCTTATGCTTCCTCCACGTGATTCCTGATAAGTTGAAAACTAAGAACGATCATTGCAAACATGAATATTAGCTTCGAAATCCAAGTACCAGTCAGTGAAAGAAGTAAGAGACTTTACAAGATAGGATGAAGATGCTAACCTGAAGGAATTTGAATTCTCTTTAATCATGTTAACTTTGTTGGATCAATTTTCTTTAGGAGCAGGTTTAATCGGTTCCTTCTTCTGATAGAAACAATTGGGAGCCAGGTGGTTGGTTCTACCACATACATAGCAGAACTTTTTATCAGACTTATGGCTGGAAGAGTTGAGATTAAATTTGGAAGATGATTTGTTAAAGGACTGCTGGTTTTTTTTTTTGAATCTTTCCTTTGGGTTTGAAATTCCTAGATTTAGGCTTATCCTCTACCAAGTTCGCTTTAGCTTTTATTTCGGTCTTGGTTTTGTAATTTTGCCTATGCTGGTCTTCAATGCGAAAAGCCTTGAGGGCTTCAGTTAAGGTTAGATTTTCTTGCTTGTGTCGGAGAACTCCAGCAAATCCAGACCAGGAGGGAGGGACTTTATCAATCAAACAGGAAACTTTAAAAGCATCAGTAAAGGAGTTCCTTTAATTGAAGGTGAAGGAGGAAATCTTGGAATTCATGAATTTGTTCATTAATGGGTTTGTCATCAACCATCATGAACTTATTGAAGGAAGAGGAGGTGAAACGCAGAATTCCAGCATCATTATAGTCATATTCTGCTTCAAAAGCATTCCATATGTTCTTAGCACTTTTGAACTCATAATATGTCATAAAAGTTATCCGCAAGTGCATTAAGAATCCTATAGCAATAATGATAGTTGATTTCTTCTGGTTTCATAGAGCTAGAAAAGGAGCTAGCACTAGAACCAGAAGTAGAAGGAGCAGGTTGTTCAGGATCGAGAGTCAATGGTTGAGAACCACTAGATGAAGACTCAGGAGTGTATGGCAGATAAAAGACCTAGGGTGGTGAGCCAGTATCTCATCTGATTAGCCCACTATTTGTAGTTAACACCGGTAAATTTCTCAGGTTTGACACTCTTCGAATGGTCAGCGTTAGCCATAAGTCCGATTGAAGTTTACTAGTCTAGATATTTGGAATCTGATGGAATAAAAGTTTTTATCAATACCACTAGACCAGTTACTTAGGAGTACGACTTTGATCAATAAATTGTATAATTCTAATACAGTAAACAAGTCAAGCAAATTTTTTTCCTTTTCTTGTGAACAGTAACTTTTTTCCACAGTTACTACTTAATAATATTAATTAATAGGTAAGCAAACAAATAATTAAAGTAATTACAATTAATTATTTAGGATGAAATTTTTAATGAACAGTAGAAATAGTTTGGGGTGAACAGTAAAATTTGATGAACAGTGATTTTTTTCCTCTTTCAAATTAACAGGGAAAAATTAGTCAACAACTAAAAGCAATTAATTATAAATAAAAATTATTTCGGATTTAATAAATCAACAGCTATAAAATTCAATCTTCTAGATTGTTGTCAAAATTGAAAATTATTAGCATAAAAATCCGAAAATAAAGAATTAAAAATTCTGGCCTGATCGGGAGCAGTCGTGTAAACACTGCCTTAGAAAATTAAAGACCCACCTATCGTCCTGACGCAGATGGTCCTCTCTCTTCTAGCCATAAAACCCCCCAGAATTCGGTCGGCCTCTGAACTCGAGTAAGAGTGGCAGAACTTCTGCTCAGATGAAGAACGTTGCCCAAAAAACAAAACCAATTGAACTGTAGCCGAGACTTTTAGAAGGAGAGAGAGCTCAGTTTTAAGATGAAGAGAAGAGTTTTTTTTTCCTATGATTTCCTCGAACTGATCAGCCATCTATTTATAGGGTTTACAAACCTAAAGCCGTTGCTCACCATCCGCGCACGTTACTCATAATCCGCGTAACCCTCGCACGATCTCTGCAGCCGTTACAAAACGTGTAACACGTGCAAAACGAGAAGGCTGAAGAAATAAAAAAGAACACGTGTGTGCGGCGTGCGTGCGTGTTATGCAAAACCCACTCAATACAAAACCCAAAAACACTACTCAAAACCCAATAAAGGGTGTTCCCATATAAACCCCTTACTACTCCCATCACTATTCCATGTGGGACTATTCACAAAGGCAAAATTGCCTTTTCATGAACAAAATAGCGAACAAGTTTGTCCAATGCCCAAGCTTAAGCTTGACATCAAGCTGCTTATAAACAACTATTTCAAAATCTAAAACCCGACACTTGGAATCATCAGCTTCAACTACATCATATTTATAAGTCCAGCACATTCGTTTCCTCCAACTAGTTCAATTCTACTTATCAACTATGTAGCTAGTTTTTTCTCAAAAAAAAAAAAAAAAAAAAAAAAAAAAAAAACTATGTAGCTAGTTCACTAGTTGAAAGATTATAAGCTTTTCAAAAAAAAAAAAAAAAAAAAAAAACTATGTAGCTAGTTCACTAGTTGAAAGATTATAAGCTCATTCAAATAAAATCTATCAGCACATCATACAAATAAGAATTTTAAAACTAAAACCTTCGTAAAACTCAGCTAAAATTCGATATCAAATCACCAAAAAATCGAGTACCTTTGAGCTTAATCTTGAGCGCCTTCTTCACCATCGGCTGAGGTGGAATCGCCTTCTTCCTCAACAAATTAGAAGCCATCCCCGTCATCAAGCTCCCCGAAACCCCAGCCTGGTCGACGAGCACCGAGTCCTCATCCTCAGACGCACCGCCGGCGTTCCCTCCGCCTCCGCCGCCGCCACCGGAGGTGACGTCGTAGTACGAGTGGAGGCCGTTCTTTTCTGTGAGCTGATGAGACTTGGCTTTCTTCATGGATGAGGAGCTCGACGGCGATGAGAGAGGACAAATGCTGTTGATGCTGGAGAAAGATCGCTTCGAGTGAGTCATTAATTAATCGGAGATTTTCATGGCGAGGTCGATTAGGGTTTTAATTCGAGGAGGGAGGAGGTCGAGATTGATCGAGAGAGTGAGGGCCAGAGAGAGAGAGCGAGGAAGTTTATTTCGATTGGGCTCCGTTTTATCCGAGAGGGTCAAGTTTCGTGTTTGTGGGGTCGGCTTAATAATTGAGGGTTCGAGACAGTGGAGACTGCGAGCCGACTCGATCGAGCTTGGGCTCGGGGCCTGTTTGGATCGGGTATTTTGAAGGAAAAAAGAGGAGGAAAGTTATTAATTTGTTAGTTTTTTGGTAGTTTTCCCCCAAAGTCGTCTATTTTGTTTTGCTGACAAAGAAAAGTATAAAGGCGACTTTGGGGGAAAGCTGCCAAAAAGCTGATAAATTGGCAACTTTCCCCCTCATTTCCCCTTCAAAATACCATAAGAGGCGATTTTAGGGGAAAGCTTCCAAAAAGCTGACAAATTTACAGCTTTCTCCCTCCTTTCCCCTTCAAAATACCCGATCCAAACAAGCCCTCATGGTCGTTTTGTTGAAATCTCTAACATTTTGAATTAGTCCCTCGAATCATCGCCATTGCTATTAGGCCCCTAATTCTTATGTCTCACAACCGCTGCTCTTCATTGGAGGGCTTAATTTTTAACAACTTACAAGAATCGAGTGACCTTGAGAAAACTGGTAGAATTTTTGATTTTTTTTTTTGGGCAATTAGAACTCAAAACTAGAACAAGGATAATTTATGGAATAAAATTTTATAGTGTAAATCAATTAGAACTAGAACTAGGTTAAGATTTTATAGCGTTGGTCAATTAGAACTAGAACAATATTAGAACTGAGATAATGGTAAAATTTATTCCCTTTTTTTTCATTTCTCTATACAAAAAAAAAAGAGTTCTAGTCCTTTAAATTATCCTAGGTGCTGGGCTAGAACTACTTCGTAAAAAAAAATTAGAACTCTCATTTTTATTTCTTATTTTTAGTTTTCATGTCTTTTCTTTTCTTCATCCTCTCTTCCTTCAATAGTCATTGCTATCATCTGACCATACTATCATACTAGACCGTCTTTCCTCTTAATCCTCTCTTTAAATGTTATTTTCTTTTTTTTACCGAGTATTTGATTTATATAATTATTTTAAAATAAAAAATCATAGGCCCCTAATTTATTAAAAGATAAAAAAGAAGAAATATGAAAAACTTTACGTTTTTGGACTTGTACTATAATAGTTCACAAAAATAAAAAATTCTGAAGTACTGTTATAATAATTATTAACAATATATTGTATTCTAACAAAAAGTTATTCAACAATAACTAACATTATATTAAACAATAATTAATAAATAATAGTAAGTTAAAAATATAAAGTAGTAGTTATATGGTCAAAATACAAAAATTATATAGTTCTTTATTATCATAAATTATCCCATACCGTTTTATCAAAATATCTCACTTCAAAAAATTATTCATGATTATTCCACTAAAATATCACACTTTCAAAAATTGTCCCGCTTCAACAATTATCCCACTTTGTGTGAAAACGTTCCCATTGAATATCGCGAAAAGCCAAATAAAAGTATAGCAAATGTTACATTGTTACATTAACAAATATTGTTTGAAGCATTTGCCCCGGTACTCCATCCATTGTTTGAATGCTTCACAATTTTTGTGAAATATGTTCACATTGAAAACTCGTTATTTGCTTGAAAAACAATTGATGTAAAAATTATAAGTCTGGAAGTGGGAGTTTTTTTTTATATTTTCTGATAGAATGACATTGTTTTTTATGTTTAAGTTTCATTTCCAAGAATTTGAACATCTGTTGCAATCGAATTGGTCGCAACATTTGTTGCCGTCTCTTTTACAGATTGCAATTTCGTGTACCTTTTACTAATAATACTGTTGGTAACAAACATTAAAAACATGAATCTTACTGAAATATTTGTTGTTGTAGCTTTATTTCCACCCAGTCAGACGCGACCTGTTAAAATTATGCCCGGTGCGGAAGTGCTCTACTTGCATTTGGATGCCCACAGTAGAAAGCTTAAAACCCAGATATTACAATGTAAATGCTAAATTAAATAAGGAGTATATCTGTGTCAAACGGTAAAAATATCAAATATGCAAAAACCATGGAAATTTATCTCGAGAGAAGTTCTCCTTTTTTTTTCGAACAAAGATCATGAGTTGCCTTAAACTATACCATATAGTTTTATCATTTAGTTTTCTGACCGAGGTCGAACTTTTCTTTCCAAGCCTAAAGAAAAGATCTGTGCGTCACCCTCTCCACTGTTAGGGAAGGTAAAATCCTTTGTCTATGACATGCAAATATCACCACTTCTGTTGGATTTTTTAGTCAAAACCGCTTTTCAAAAATTAGTTTCAAACTATGTATTTATTAGTTACTGGTATTTTTTTAGAAATTCTTAGTAGGGTAGCGGAAAGTTAAAGTTTTGGTGTTTCAAAATATCATGTGTTCAGGCTTGTCAACGTCAAGCCGAGAATTGTTTTTATTCAATTAATCACTCATAAGTTCTAGTGATCCGTGGGCCCGTGGGCTCGTGGGCCAATGGGCCAGGGATCGGGGCTAATCGGGCTGAGGCGCTAAATGACCCTCGCGTTCAGACGTTTCTTCATGCAGCAATTAAAACTGCATGCAACAGTTACAGCAATTAAGTCATTTGTTGTTACAATCATAATTGTCATTATGATTTGTAATAGTCAAATGAACATTGAGCTAGAGGCCTATAAATAGAGCCCCTTGGAGCAGCTCTAAAGATACGAAAAAAACACATAGAAGTGTTTAACCTGTTGTGCTGCTGCTGCAGAGTTTGAAAGCGTGTAAGTTTTAGTCTGTGCCCGAAGGAACAGAGCCCTGAACTGAAAGATTATTACAGATCGAAAGATATTTGTCTGAACCAAAAGGTTTTAACAGATCAATGAGATCTTTACTTGAACCGAAAACAAATCGAGGAGATCTTGACATTGACCGAAAGGTCTTATAGATCGAGGAGATCTTGACAGTACTTGGCCGGAGCACACCAGTATACTGTACTATTGTTCTTGAAAGCAGTTTGGCCTTTGGATCCTTGCACCGGAGTAGGCCAAATATTACTTTAAGCATAGCATTTCATAAACGCATAATAGCTAAACTTGAAAAGGTTTTAAAATATAGCACTTCAGCTCTCTAACAGATTTATCTGTTTTATTCCATTGGCGCTAACAAGTTCACATACAATAGAATCTGAAACCTGCGAATAACACTCAGTTCTGTCTTAAGAGAAGTTATTTGCTGTCATACTGAAGTATCCTTAGAAACGTTTTCTGCTGCAAGTATTCTTATGTGCATATTCAGTAATTTTTTCACTTGAGCGCGATTGCTTAAGCCTTCGGGATATATTTCATCAGTGAAACTAACCACGACATGCCTGAAGCTTTCCAGCCAATTGAGAAGCCAAGACTGTTTTGTTTCAGGACTCAACCAAGTTCCAACAGTCGGGAATATGAATTACTTGTATTGTAGTGCATCTTCATCTCTTGAAGCGGGAGTTGAAACAAGTAATGGCGGTTAAGTCTCAATCTTGTATTGGTAAGAGCTCTCAATACTGCAGAATATCGGTAAGAACTGTCGATCTTGTCAAACTGTTGTTCAGTTTCTTCTCTAACTTTATTTGATGTTACTGAAGATTTCATCTTCATGCAGCATGAAGAGCAAAATGCACAAGTGATGCACACATGAGCTTGTATAGGAAATTATGATGCTCAATAAATGTGGACGAACTACCACTCGACTGCTCTGCACATTTAACAGCTACAGAAAATGACTTCGTCTTACTGTATAATGAGTACTAAGAAATTTATGCCCATCTTGCTACATTTTCTTTCCAGGTGACTTTCAGCTTAACCTCTGACCCATTTCTTTGTTGGCCATATGGTGCTTGCACTGTAAATACTGATGCGAAGTGATATTGGCGCTCTCTTTATTATCCCATCGCTGGATTCTAATCTTTATCAACCAAGGCATGAATCTTTTTGATCATGTTATCTAATTTCTGCGTCATACTTTATCTTCTCAATTTCTTATGTATAAATGTATAATATCTGGTACTGATCGTCTTTCTCATAAATTGAGCTCTAGATTTTAAGGAAAGAAATGTTAACCATGCATTATGTGGAAGACAAACATAGAGGCAATTTTTTCTCTATGAAGGTTGTTGATAACACTTTTGACAGTGCAATTGTGTCAATTTTTAACCTCTGAATTGATTTCTAACAATTTTCTGACAAGAGATTTGTCTCAGTTTGCAAACTTCCTACAACTCCACTTCCAGGTTTACAATCACACTAGTGTGCACCCCGTGCAAAGCACGGCCCCCTATTTTTTTTTAGTACTGCATTTTAAACTTGCATACCTCTAAGTTTTAATACATTTTATTTAATTATTGTAAGGTTAAATTAAAAATAATATCTACTTCTCTATACTTAAAAAAAGATCCAAATTTTAATACTTTTGACTTAGAAATCATGCAAATAAATTCGTATATATATGAGTTAACAGGTACGTATACAAAACATGCACAACAGGCTGTGCATGTTTTGTATAACCTGCAACTTCACGGGAGTTCAACTCCCGTGAAGTTGCAGTCTCAACTTCCCAGAGATCGCCTCTCTGGGAATATTTGCCTGTAACTCCACGGGAGTTGAACTCCCATGGAGTTTTTCGCTTCATAAATCTTCACGGGAGTTGAACTCCCGTGAAGATTTATGAAGAAATTAAACTTCACGGGAGTTCAACTCCCGTGAAGTTTACGTCACGGGAGTCGAACTCCCGTGAAGTTTCCCAAAAATTTTTACAAAAACCGACCTGTTTTCAGCGCTGGGCTGAAAACAGGTCGGTTTTTACATATTTTTTCAAAACCGGTTGTTTTTTGCAAATAAAAACCCAAAAGGATCGGTTTTGAAAATTTGTCCAAAAAAACTCTGATGAAAGAAAGAATTCTCAGTCTGCAGCTGCAAACTAAACATTCGCTTTAACAAGAACTATACAGACCCCCGCTAAGGCACTGCATGCTAGAAGCTTTTTTCCTTCAATCTATCACATTTCCTTTGATTAAAAGGGTTTGAGGAAACGATGGTCACCAACAAATCTTCCAAAGGATCGATGGAGCGATTATGGTTCCATGAGCCTCTTCATAACAAATCGAATACGTGCACGTTTTCGATAGACAAGCTTCTATATTCCTCTAACCCGCTATAATCTCTGCAGGTCATTGGTAGAGGCAATCTAAGAGGACTGGACTTCTAAGGCCAAGTAGTATATTCATATAGCTGGCTTAATGTTCAAAATTAAGAAACATGAAAACAGCACGCTTCCATTTCTCTCATTGGCTTTTATACCCAGCAAATCGATCATACATTAATAAAACTCCCGCATGCTCATTAAAAATCAGAAAAGTAACAGCAAGATAGAGAAACAAACAGACTCACACAAAAGAAACATCCACTGACTTTCGACGCCGATCGGGGTCGAGATCAGTCGACGGTTTTGGCGGCGGAGGAAGCGGCGGAGGAAGCGGCGGAGGGGGCGGTGATGCTGCTGCTGCTGTTGGGGGGCGACGAGAGAGGAGTCGGGATCGTAATTGGGATCGAGGGCTTGGTCGATAGCCTCTCGGCCTTTTTCGAGGCAGGGCTTGCAGGCGATCTCGATCGTGATCCAGCCCAAGATCACGGCCGCTATGGCGATCACTGCGCTTGTGATTGCTGCCATTTCTTCCCTCTTGTGATTCCTTTCTTCGCGGGAATTGATGTAAAAATTATAAGTCTGGAAGTGGGAGTTTTTTTTTATATTTTCTGATAGAATGACATTGTTTTTTATGTTTAAGTTTCATTTCCAAGAATTTGAACATCTGTTGCAATCGAATTGGTCGCAACATTTGTTGCCGTCTCTTTTACAGATTGCAATTTCGTGTACCTTTTACTAATAATACTGTTGGTAACAAACATTAAAAACATGAATCTTACTGAAATATTTGTTGTTGTAGCTTTATTTCCACCCAGTCAGACGCGACCTGTTAAAATTATGCCCGGTGCGGAAGTGCTCTACTTGCATTTGGATGCCCACAGTAGAAAGCTTAAAACCCAGATATTACAATGTAAATGCTAAATTAAATAAGGAGTATATCTGTGTCAAACGGTAAAAATATCAAATATGCAAAAACCATGGAAATTTATCTCGAGAGAAGTTCTCCTTTTTTTTTCGAACAAAGATCATGAGTTGCCTTAAACTATACCATATAGTTTTATCATTTAGTTTTCTGACCGAGGTCGAACTTTTCTTTCCAAGCCTAAAGAAAAGATCTGTGCGTCACCCTCTCCACTGTTAGGGAAGGTAAAATCCTTTGTCTATGACATGCAAATATCACCACTTCTGTTGGATTTTTTAGTCAAAACCGCTTTTCAAAAATTAGTTTCAAACTATGTATTTATTAGTTACTGGTATTTTTTTAGAAATTCTTAGTAGGGTAGCGGAAAGTTAAAGTTTTGGTGTTTCAAAATATCATGTGTTCAGGCTTGTCAACGTCAAGCCGAGAATTGTTTTTATTCAATTAATCACTCATAAGTTCTAGTGATCCGTGGGCCCGTGGGCTCGTGGGCCAATGGGCCAGGGATCGGGGCTAATCGGGCTGAGGCGCTAAATGACCCTCGCGTTCAGACGTTTCTTCATGCAGCAATTAAAACTGCATGCAACAGTTACAGCAATTAAGTCATTTGTTGTTACAATCATAATTGTCATTATGATTTGTAATAGTCAAATGAACATTGAGCTAGAGGCCTATAAATAGAGCCCCTTGGAGCAGCTCTAAAGATACGAAAAAAACACATAGAAGTGTTTAACCTGTTGTGCTGCTGCTGCAGAGTTTGAAAGCGTGTAAGTTTTAGTCTGTGCCCGAAGGAACAGAGCCCTGAACTGAAAGATTATTACAGATCGAAAGATATTTGTCTGAACCAAAAGGTTTTAACAGATCAATGAGATCTTTACTTGAACCGAAAACAAATCGAGGAGATCTTGACATTGACCGAAAGGTCTTATAGATCGAGGAGATCTTGACAGTACTTGGCCGGAGCACACCAGTATACTGTACTATTGTTCTTGAAAGCAGTTTGGCCTTTGGATCCTTGCACCGGAGTAGGCCAAATATTACTTTAAGCATAGCATTTCATAAACGCATAATAGCTAAACTTGAAAAGGTTTTAAAATATAGCACTTCAGCTCTCTAACAGATTTATCTGTTTTATTCCATTGGCGCTAACAAGTTCACATACAATAGAATCTGAAACCTGCGAATAACACTCAGTTCTGTCTTAAGAGAAGTTATTTGCTGTCATACTGAAGTATCCTTAGAAACGTTTTCTGCTGCAAGTATTCTTATGTGCATATTCAGTAATTTTTTCACTTGAGCGCGATTGCTTAAGCCTTCGGGATATATTTCATCAGTGAAACTAACCACGACATGCCTGAAGCTTTCCAGCCAATTGAGAAGCCAAGACTGTTTTGTTTCAGGACTCAACCAAGTTCCAACAGTCGGGAATATGAATTACTTGTATTGTAGTGCATCTTCATCTCTTGAAGCGGGAGTTGAAACAAGTAATGGCGGTTAAGTCTCAATCTTGTATTGGTAAGAGCTCTCAATACTGCAGAATATCGGTAAGAACTGTCGATCTTGTCAAACTGTTGTTCAGTTTCTTCTCTAACTTTATTTGATGTTACTGAAGATTTCATCTTCATGCAGCATGAAGAGCAAAATGCACAAGTGATGCACACATGAGCTTGTATAGGAAATTATGATGCTCAATAAATGTGGACGAACTACCACTCGACTGCTCTGCACATTTAACAGCTACAGAAAATGACTTCGTCTTACTGTATAATGAGTACTAAGAAATTTATGCCCATCTTGCTACATTTTCTTTCCAGGTGACTTTCAGCTTAACCTCTGACCCATTTCTTTGTTGGCCATATGGTGCTTGCACTGTAAATACTGATGCGAAGTGATATTGGCGCTCTCTTTATTATCCCATCGCTGGATTCTAATCTTTATCAACCAAGGCATGAATCTTTTTGATCATGTTATCTAATTTCTGCGTCATACTTTATCTTCTCAATTTCTTATGTATAAATGTATAATATCTGGTACTGATCGTCTTTCTCATAAATTGAGCTCTAGATTTTAAGGAAAGAAATGTTAACCATGCATTATGTGGAAGACAAACATAGAGGCAATTTTTTCTCTATGAAGGTTGTTGATAACACTTTTGACAGTGCAATTGTGTCAATTTTTAACCTCTGAATTGATTTCTAACAATTTTCTGACAAGAGATTTGTCTCAGTTTGCAAACTTCCTACAACTCCACTTCCAGGTTTACAATCACACTAGTGTGCACCCCGTGCAAAGCACGGCCCCCTATTTTTTTTTAGTACTGCATTTTAAACTTGCATACCTCTAAGTTTTAATACATTTTATTTAATTATTGTAAGGTTAAATTAAAAATAATATCTACTTCTCTATACTTAAAAAAAGATCCAAATTTTAATACTTTTGACTTAGAAATCATGCAAATAAATTCGTATATATATGAGTTAACAGGTACGTATACAAAACATGCACAACAGGCTGTGCATGTTTTGTATAACCTGCAACTTCACGGGAGTTCAACTCCCGTGAAGTTGCAGTCTCAACTTCCCAGAGATCGCCTCTCTGGGAATATTTGCCTGTAACTCCACGGGAGTTGAACTCCCATGGAGTTTTTCGCTTCATAAATCTTCACGGGAGTTGAACTCCCGTGAAGATTTATGAAGAAATTAAACTTCACGGGAGTTCAACTCCCGTGAAGTTTACGTCACGGGAGTCGAACTCCCGTGAAGTTTCCCAAAAATTTTTACAAAAACCGACCTGTTTTCAGCGCTGGGCTGAAAACAGGTCGGTTTTTACATATTTTTTCAAAACCGGTTGTTTTTTGCAAATAAAAACCCAAAAGGATCGGTTTTGAAAATTTGTCCAAAAAAACTCTGATGAAAGAAAGAATTCTCAGTCTGCAGCTGCAAACTAAACATTCGCTTTAACAAGAACTATACAGACCCCCGCTAAGGCACTGCATGCTAGAAGCTTTTTTCCTTCAATCTATCACATTTCCTTTGATTAAAAGGGTTTGAGGAAACGATGGTCACCAACAAATCTTCCAAAGGATCGATGGAGCGATTATGGTTCCATGAGCCTCTTCATAACAAATCGAATACGTGCACGTTTTCGATAGACAAGCTTCTATATTCCTCTAACCCGCTATAATCTCTGCAGGTCATTGGTAGAGGCAATCTAAGAGGACTGGACTTCTAAGGCCAAGTAGTATATTCATATAGCTGGCTTAATGTTCAAAATTAAGAAACATGAAAACAGCACGCTTCCATTTCTCTCATTGGCTTTTATACCCAGCAAATCGATCATACATTAATAAAACTCCCGCATGCTCATTAAAAATCAGAAAAGTAACAGCAAGATAGAGAAACAAACAGACTCACACAAAAGAAACATCCACTGACTTTCGACGCCGATCGGGGTCGAGATCAGTCGACGGTTTTGGCGGCGGAGGAAGCGGCGGGGGAAGTTTTTTTTTTTTTTCGGTGTGTGAATAGAGAATGATTTGGGGGTAGTTGATAGTAACTACGAATTTGCAAGGGCGTATTTGGTATTGACTTTGTGCGTTTTGGTGATGTGAGATGCACGTGGGAATTACATGCCAATTTGTTTCGGTGGATATTGAAGGGCTACGGGTCCGGTTGGCTGATAGGAAGTATTATGAAGTAAGAAGCAGTTGAAGTACTATTTTTTTGTTTGTTTCATGAATTTTTAGAAGCAGAGGAAATAATGTTTCGTTCACTTCATTAACTTGAAGAAGTAAAGCCGGTACGATCGAGGGTTCTTATCACATTGATCGATAAGATTGTAAATTCAAAATTTGAAATAATATCATGCATTATTTGGTTGAAAATAGTTTTTATTAGGGTTTAATTGCATGAAAGACATGAATTAGGGCTTTAATTGGGTGAGAAATAAGAAATATAATTTTTATGGTTAAAAAGTGGAATTTTGAGAATTGTTGCTGTTCGCGGGAAAAATTGTTTTCGTTGATGTCATTGTTTTCTTGAGCAACAATTTATCGGTTACAAAAGATCCGGTCTTTTTATAAGATCCAGTTACAACAAAATAAAAAAAAAAAGAAATTCTTAAAAGATTATAACTTTCCTTTTCTGGAACAAATTGCAAGATCCTGTTTTGCGGTCTCTTGCTTGTGTGGGTTCTTTGCCTGCGCTGGGGTTAATCCGTGGACCACCGCCCGATCTTGATCCGGTCGGATCTACACGGTATGACGGGTGTTATTTCACGAAGGAAATAACAGCCGAGGGGATTATTTCACCAAGGAAATAATAGCCCTAAGTAATCGAAATCGACCAAGCGAAATCGATACTCTTCTCGGGATCAAAAACCAAGTTTTGATCCGGAGGATGACCGTGTAGATCTCAGATCTGATCTCTCTCGAACTCCTGCCTTATTTAACGTGGACGATCGCCAAGAACCAGATCTGAAAAGTCCGAGTCTTCAAAGCTCCAAAACTCCGAAGTTCAGTTCTCAATCCGGCAGAGTTTCACCTCAAAAGTTCCAAGTCCCTCAAACAATGAGCCTAGGGGTCTATTTATAGGCTCCTCAGTTTTGGCCGAGCCACCAAATGGTGGTTCGGCC